GCGGATGACTAGGACGGTTTTAAATGGTGTATTTTAATATTTTGATAAATGTTTTTTAATGTTTATGTATTGTATGTGAACTTGTGTCCTGGCATTGAATGTTTGCCGTGTATATGCTGTGCTCCGCCCTGAGTCCCCTTCGGGGTGAGAAGGGCGGAATATAAATGTTTCAAATAAATAAATAAATAAAAACTTCTAGGTTCTTGTAGGTTTTTTCGGGCTATATGGCCATGTTCTAGAGGCATTTCTCCTGACGTTTCGCCTGCATCTATGGCAAGCATCCTCAGAGGTAGTGAGGTCTGTTGGAAATAGGAAAATGGGTTTATATATCTGTGGAATGACTGGGGTGGGGCAAAGAGCTCTCTGCTGAAGCTAGGTGTGAATGTTTCAGCTGACCACCTTCATTAGCATTTGAAGGCCTGGCTGAGCCTGGGAAAATGTTCTGTTGAGAGGTGTTAAGATGTCCCTGCTTGCTTCCTCTCTGCTGTTTTGCTGTTGTAATTTTAGAGTTTTTTAATACTGGTAGCCAGATTTTGTTCATTTTCATGGTCTCTTCCTTTCTGTTGAAATTCTCCACATGCTTGTGGATTTCAATGGCTTCTCTGTGTAGCCTGACATGGTGGTTGTTAGAGTGGTCCAGCATTTCTGTGTTTTCAGATAATATGCTGTGTCCAGGCTGGTTCATCGGGTGCTCTGCTATGGCTGATTTCTCTGGCTGAAGTAGTCTTCAGTGCCTTTCATGTTCCTTGATTCGTGTTTGGGCAATGCTGCATTTGGTGGTCCCTATGTAGACTTGTCCACAGCTGTACGGTATACGGTAGACTCCTGCAGAGGTGAGAGGATTCCTCTTGTCCTTTGCTGAATGTAGCATTTGTTGGATTTTCTTGGTGGGTTTGTAGATTGTTTGTATGTTATGTTATGTTGGTGAGCATTGACCTTAAGTTTTGGAGTTGTAGTTCACCTACATCCAGAGAGCAGTGTGGATTCAAACAATGATAGATCTGGACCAAACTTGGCACGAGTACTCAATATGCCCAAATGTGAACACTGGAGGAATTTGGGGAAAACAGACCTTAACATTTGGAACTTGTAGTTGCTGGGATTTATAGTTCACCTAAAATCAAAGAGCTTTCTGAACCCCACCAAGGATAGAATTGGTTCAAACTTCCCACACAGAATCCCCATGACCAACAGAAAATACTGTGTTTTCTGATAGTCTTTGGCGACCCCTTTGACACCCCCTCAGGGGTCCCGACCCCCAGGTTGAGAACCACTGCTCTAGAACATGGCCCTATAGCCCGAAAAAACCTACAAGAACCTACTTAAAGTACCTGTTTGTTTTCATTAATAAAGAACTTTGTTGAACCTTTAATCAATCTAGAGACTCTGTTTGGGGGGATCCAAATCTCTTATGCACAGGCCCAGCGTGCGACAGCACAGTGCTGCTTCATTGTCATATAATTAATGTGAATGTGTTACTTTGATTCCATTCTGGGACAGTCCCTTTGGCTACTAGGATTGACTGAGTGAGGAGGGCAGCTGCAGTAACGCCCACTGGCCAGTAGATGGCGGCGTCTCGCTCCTGTCCTCCTCCCCCCTCCCCTTTCGAGATCCTTCCAGAGAGGGACTCGAACGTGCGCGCGGAAAGCGCCGATGCCGCATTCGGGAGCCTTCGCGGCGTCGAAAGAGAGAGAGAGGGAGAGAGGGAGAGAGCGCGAGCGAGAGGGAGGGAGGGAGGGAGGGGGGAATCCGCGCCTGCGCAGTGGGGAGCAAGTGCCGGTTGGCGTCTGTTGCTCCGCAGTGAGAGAACGGAGCGAGGCCGGCGAAAGAGGAGGAGGAGAAGCCGCCGCCGCCGCCGCCGCCGCGCCGTTTGCCTCAGCCTTGCCGCCCTCCCTCCTTCTCCGCCCGGGGAAAGCAGGCGCAGGGCAGGCAAGCCTCCTCGCCGTAAGGAGGGCCGAGAAAGAGATCCCGAGACAGGAGGAGAGGGAAAGGCCGTCGTCGTCGCCATGTCTGTGGTGGGCATCGACCTGGGCTACCAGAACTGCTACATCGCGGTGGCGCGGAGCGGGGGCATCGAGACCGTCGCCAACGAGTACAGCGACCGCTGCACCCCGTGAGTATGGCTGGGCCTGGCTGGGGAGAGGGAGGCCTGGCGGGCCGAGGCCTCGAGCCCCGTTCTGGACTCTCAGCAGCATCAGCGACGTCATCAGCATCAGTGACGTCACACCTCTCTTCTCCCCGGCTGTCAATCAAAGGGAGCGCCTATGCCAGGCCTGGCCCAACCAGGTGTTTTGGGCTTCCACTCCCACCATTCCTAACAGCCTCAGGCCCCTTTCTTTTCCCCCTCAGCCGCTTAAGCGGCTGAGGAGGAAAAGAAAAGGGCCAGAGGCTGTTAGGAATGGTGGGAGTGGAAGCCCAAAACATCTAACAGAATGGCCCAAGTTGGCCCATGCCTGCCCAAGATGTCAGGCAAGCTAAAACCTTTCTAATGAAAATACAAAACGATATTTTACATGTATAAGCCAGGAACAAACATCTCAAATTAGTTACCTCTAGACTGGATTGTTGCAATGCACTCTTTCCTTCCTTCCTTCCCTCTTTCCTCCCTCCCCTCCCTCTTTCTCCCTTCCTGCATTCCCTTACACTCTTCCATCCTTCCTTCTCTCTTTCCTCCCTCCTTCGCTTCCTTCCTCCCATCCTTAGATGAAGGGGTTAGAAGGCATGATCATCAAGTTTGCAGACGACACCAAATTGGGAGGGATAGCCAATAGTCCAGAGGACAGGAGCAGGATTCAAAACGATCTTGACAGATTAGAGAGATGGGCCAAAACTAACAAAATGAAGTTTAACAGTGACAAATGCAAGATACTCCACTTTGGCAGGAAAAACGAAATGCAAAGATACAGAATGGGGGACGCCTGGCTCGAGAGCAGTACATGTGAAAAAGATCTTGGAGTCCTCATGGACAACAAGTTAAACATGAGCCAACAATGTGATGTGGCAGCAAAAAATCAATAGGAGCATAGTGTCTAGATCTAGGGAAGTCATGCTATCCCTCTATTCTGCTTTGGTTAGACCACACCTGGAATATTGTGTCCAATTCTGGGCACCACAATTCAAGAGAGATATTGACAAGCTGGAATGTGTCCAGAGGAGGGCGACTCAAATGATCAAGCGTCTGGAGAACAAGCCCTATGAGGAGCGGCTTAAGGAGCTGGGCATGTTTAGCCTGAAGAAGAGAAGGCTGAAAGGAGATATGATAGCCATGTATAAATATGTGAGAGGAAGCCACAGGGAGGAGGGAGCAAGCTTGTTTTCTGCTTCCCTGGAGACTAGGACACGGAACAATGGCTTCAAACTACAAGAAAGGAGATTCCATCTGAATAGGAAGAACTTCCTGACTGTGAGAGCCGTTCAGCAGTGGAACTCTCTGCCCCGGAGTGTGGTGGAGGCTCCTTCTTTGGAAGCTTTTAAACAGAGGCTGGATGGCCATCTGTCAGGGGTGATTTGAATGCAATATTCCTGCTTCTTGGCAGGGGGTTGGACTGGATGGCCCATGAGGTCTCTTCCAACTATTTGATTCTATGATTCCTTTCCGCCCTTTAGTCGTTCCTTCCCTCTTTCCTCCCTCCTTCCTTCTATCCCTCTTTCTCATTCCTTCCCTTTCTTCCTTCCCTCTTTCCTCCCTCCTTCCCTCCTTCCCTCTCCCCCTCTTTCTACTTCCTTCCTTCCCTTTTGTCTTTCCTTCCTTCTCTCTTCCCTCCCTTCCACACTTCCTTCCTTCCATCCTTCCCTTCCTCCCTTCCTCCCTTCCTTCCTCCTCATTTTCCTTCCTCCTTTACTCCTGGGGGATGTTTAGCTGGGAGAAGAGAAGGTAGAGAAGGAACATTAGAACCATGTTTCAAGATTTAAAAGGGTGTCCCATTGAGGAGAAGGGGGAAACTGACTTTCTGCTGCTCTAGAGACCAGGGCACAAGGGAGGAACGATTCAAATGGCAGAGAAAGTAATTCGACCAAAAGGATTAGAATGAATTTCCTGGAGACATAGGCTGCCGCAGAGTGTGGTGGAGTCTCCTTCTCTGGGGGCTTTTTTGCTGAGGCTGTCTTATCAGGAGTGCTTTGGTTGTGCCTTCCTGCATGGCAGGGGGTTGGACTGGATGGCCCTTGGAGGTCTCTTCCAATTCTAGGATTCTATATCAGGAGTAGGTAATACAGGGTCTAAAGGATACACTTTTTCTCTCCCATTCACCATCTCATCCTGACCCTTTGGGGATCCAAACGTTTTCTATCTTTCCTTCGCTTTCTGTCTCCGAAAGAGAAGAGGAAGGTGAGGAAAGGGCAGGGAGGGGACTTGGGGAGAACCTCTTGTCCCCCTGCAATGTGGCCTCCAAGTTAGAAAATTAGCCATGCTTCCTATAGATCAGTGGTTCTCAACCTGGGGTCCCCAGATGTTTTTGGCCTTCAACTCCCAGAAATCATAACAGCTGGTAAACTGGCTGGGATTTCTGGGAGTTGTAGGCCAAAAACATCTGGGAACCCCAGGTTGAGAACCACTGCAGATATATGTCCTGTCCCAGCAACATGTCCCCTTAATCCTAAAGTAAACAAGCTCTTTAATCTAAGTATTATCTTGCAATTAGCAGCGTGCCAGGACCACAGTTTTGAATGCAGCGGGCCCTAGGTTTAACTTAGGGCATCTCCAGGTTGGGCCGAGAAAGACCCATCTGAAATCCTTTTCAGGCTGTGGTTTTTCTCAGACCAGCCTGAAGATACCTGAAGTTGTACTTAGAAAGGGGCCTGAGGCTGTTAGGAATGGTGGGAGTGGAAGCCCAAAACACTCACTTGCATTCAAAATTGTGGTCCTTCCACTTGTTTCTCCACAAGCAATATCGATTTATCTTTTTTTCTCTGGAGCTGTTCATCTTTCTTTTTCTGACCCTGCTTTTGAGAACATTTATTGAGAGCATTTTATATTCTGTCCTGCAGTCAAAAAGATTTGCAAAGCAGCTTACTTTATACAGATTTGACAGAAAAAGAAAACATTTAAGCAAAAGTTCCTAGTCTTATGGGTCTCTTCATCCTGGTGGAATAATTGCTAGTTTATATGTAAAAGTTCTGATGGGTAGCCTTCATGCCCTCTGTTGCTTTTGTAGATAGTGTAGTGCAGAGCTTCTCAAACTTCACAATTTCTAACTGCTGGAAAGCTGGCTGGGATTTCTGGGAACTGAATCCAAAACACCTGAAGGAGCACAGTTTGGGAAATACTGGTGTAGTTCAAAGTAGTGTTTTTAGTGCTGGATTGGGACTTGTCAAGGCCAGGGTTTGAATCCCCCATCAGCCCTGGGATCCCATTGGATAACTTTGTACACGTCACACTCTCTCAGCCTTATTAAGCCTCTGGACAAGTCTTTCCAATAAAACCCTAGGATAGGGTTGCTGTAACTCAAGAGTTAACTTGAAGTTTGTGCCTTGAAGTCATTTATGACTTACGGTGGCCTCATGGTGACCCTGTCAGGAAATTTGCTTAGCAAGATTTGTTTGGAGATGGTTTGCTTTTGTCTTCCTCTGTGGCTAAGAGAGCGCAGCATGCCCAAGGTCACCCAATGGGTTTCCATTGCCAAGTGGGAATTCAAGAGTTATAATCCAAGACTCAAGACACTACACCACTTACTAGATTCTACAAGCAGATAAAGCTTAACACATTGCCGTAATAAAGAATTATTTTCGGTTTTTGAAGTCAGATCAGAACCTTCCTTGACAATGATCCTGAGCCTCTCCAGACTTTGAGTCCTCTATTAACCTAGACCTGCACCTGTTGCTGTTGTAGCTGCTTCTTTGCTTGTGTTGTTTCTATTCCCTCTTCAAATTTAGTGCTGTAGTTGCCACTGTAACCCAGTTGTAGTTTGTAATATCTAGTGATTCTGATGCAACTGTTTGTTTATTCCATGCTTACCTTGTTTTTTATTTGTGTGCATCTGCTTTCCAAAGTAACAAATATGGATTTTGCCAGAGGCAAAATAAATAAATTTGTACTATTGGAAATGGTTCTGAGATTTGGGTACTGAAGCTCATCTTCCTAAAGCTCAAGCTAACTATAATATTTCATTTGAGTGACCAAATACTCCTGTTGAGGGTAGTTCAGATTACATTCATAAGGAGCATTTATCAACATTTCAGCCTTAGAAATCTGCCTTCTAGTTTTGATGCAGATCAAAGAGAAAGGCCGTATAGAAAGGATTACTGCTCCTCCACCCTACTGCCTGACCTGTTACTGCCTGTTCTGTTGCTTCACCTGCCTGTCAAGCACAGTTGATGATGTCAGAGTTGGTCTGCTGTACAGATAATCACAAGAGTGTGTGGGAGTAGGTAGAGATTCCTCACTCTCACTTGTTTCCATGGGTTACATCTGAGAATTGTAAATCAGCACTCTGTCGAATTCTTGCAGAAAGCAGGCAATCACATAATAAAAAGGACAGAAATTAGATTCACTCTATGTTCTGTCCCTCTAGAAAGCAATTTTGTTGCTTGTAAGGCTTACAACAGTTACATGAAATGTAATATGATAAATGAAAAAAAATACATTAGTTTAGGGAAAAATTGTGTAACCATACAGCAGTCGTTCTCAACGTAGGGTCCCCAGATGTTTTTGGCCTACAACTCCCAGAAATCCCCGCCAGTTTACCAGCTGTTAGGATTTCTGGGAGTTGAAGGCAAAAACATCTGGGGACCCCAGGTTGAGAACCACTGCCATACAGGAATATTTATACTAACATGAAAATTGCAGCCGCCTTGTTTCTCCTCATTTCACATTTCTACTTTTGAATCTGGAAGTAGCTTTTATACAAGGAGTGGAATCACAAGACCCTCAGCACCCTCCTGCCAAAAATTCAGATGAAGAAATTGGCTTTAAAATGCTGTCGAGGTTCTCCAAAACAGGGGAGACCCTTAGGCCCCTTCTACACTGCCACATAGAATCCAGGTTATCTGCTTTGAACTGGATTATATGACTATGTAGACTCATACAATCCAGTTCTAAGCGGATAGTGTGGATAACCTGCTTTGATAATATGGATTATATGGCAGTATAGAAGGGGCCTTAGAATCACCCCTACA